AAGAAAAAGCTAAAGGAGTTAATCACAATCAAACCAGTATTATATGAAATGCTGAAGGGTATTCTTTAAGAAGAGGAAGGAGAAGAAAAAGGTAAAGATAAAAATTATGAACAACAAAGTGACAACAAATACATATCTATCAACAAGTGAATCTAAAATTCAAATGAATAAAAAAATCTGATGAACAGAATAAACTGGTGAATGTAATAGAATCAGGGGCATGGAAATGGAGTGGACTGACAATTTCCCCAGGGGGAGGGTATGGGGGAGGTGTGTGGGAAGAGATTAGACAAAGATCTTATATGCATATATGCAGTACCTATGGACATGGACAGTGGGGTGGCAAGGTTCTGGGGTGGGGTGGGAACCAGGTGGAGGGGATCTATGTGGGTGGGGGAAGAGGAACATCTGTAATAATCTAAGACTATATATATATATATATATATATATATATATATATATATATATATTTCAGAGAGAAAGGGAGAGGGAGAGATAGATCAATGATGAGAGAGAATCATTGATTGGCTGCCTCCAGCACACCCCCTACTGGGGATCATGTCCAGGTTGGGGATCATGCCCTTGACTGGAATCAAACCCAGGACCCTTCAGTCCACAGGCAGAAGTTCTATCCACTGAGGCAAACCAGCTAGGGCTGAATTATTTTTTAATATATTATTAATAATAGAATGATTTATGTGGTAGAAATATCTTTATTTCTTTACTATGCACATAACTATCACTGTAACCTTCAACATTATTATTTTTCTCTTATACACTTGGTTAATTTTTTAAGTATAGTAACTAAAGTAATTCTAGCTACTTAGTCAGAGACTCCAAAAGCTTATTTATTATTTATGCTATAGTTGTGCTTATTCAACTGTGTTTTGTGACTGTTCTGAAGTCTTTCATATCCCCAGGAAGAGTGTCTAGAATCTCTGGGTTTTGTTGCCTTAAGCCAAGGTCTCAAGCAAGACTCACTTGAACATTCTATTACATTATTTTTTCAGTCTTCTTAGTTTATATAAAAAATACTGAAGAGTACAAAAGGAACAGTTCATCCTTTTGAGTATTTTTATACAAGATTAAAATAAGATAAAGTGAAAACTCTTGTCAAACCATAATATTATAAAATTAGCATTATTTGGTATTTAGTTGTTATAGATTTTATTATACAGGAAAGATTACATATAATATAATATAACAGGCTTAATTATTTGTTTGGGTCCTTTCTGTATTTAGTATCAAGTCAAGACTTCACGGATTTAAACTTGGCAAGGAAAATAAAAATCACTAAAAAAGCTAACTTCACTTGAAACATTTCCCATAATCCTTCTCTTCTTTCTGTCCCTCTCCCAATTTTTTTGTTTCTATGGAAAAACACCAGGGAAAATATTTCAAGAAGTTATTTTAAAAAACAAAGAGGAAGTTAAATGAAGTGGAGACTCTCTTTTTAAATACAGTAAATAACACAAGGGATGCAATTCACATCCCCGCACTGACTCATTAATTATAAAGATCAAGAGCTAATATCTCTCCTCGTTGGAAAGCAAAAATAATAACAACAATAAAACTTAGTCATAGACTAAGATATGTACAAAACTTTAAGAAAGAAAATATTTATTTTAAGAGAAGCAGAAGAGGAGATATAATTGAAAGTAGGAATTCCAAGAGGAAAAGGAAAAAAAATTATACAAGCAACTTTTACAGTGCAGGGAATTTTTGTTTAATAGGAAGGAGAAGAAAAATAATGTTTCACAAATTTCACACAGGTTAGTGGTGAGTTCTTCTTATACAGGAAAATAAAAACAAAGTAAAGGTAACTAAATTCGTGCAGTCCACAGTGAGTGTGAAATGAGAGCTCTCCCTTTGGAAATGTTAGCAGGATGTTTAATTGTTTTGCACAGCAGTTGCATGCATCCATGTTTCTATCCACCAGGAGATCTGTTTCCCATGTCTATAATGGAAGATGAGAAAATAATTAACAACTTGATCAAGTTCATATTGCTAAGTGTAAGGCAGGATTGAGATTCAAACCCCAAAATAAGTCTGAATCTAAAACCAGGTCTCTTTATTTTAATAGTACAAACTTCCCTGTCTGGTAAGAAATAATTAAGAATAAAGGTCCTGCCCTAGCTGGTTTGGCTCAGTGGATACAGCATCGGTCCCCTGGACTGAAGTGTCCCAGGTTCAATTCTGGTCAAGGGCTCGTAGCTGGGCTGCATGCTCACTCTCTAACCCCAGTCAGGGCACATAGGGGAGGCAACCAATCGATGTGTCTTTCTCACATCGATTTTTCCCTCTCTCTGTCCTTCACTCTTCCTTCCACTCTCTCTAAACATCAATGGAAATATCCTCAGGTGACGATTAACAAAAAAATATAAAATAAAATAAAAAAATAAAAAAAGAATGACTGTTTAAAATAAAAAAGAATAAAAGTCCTGGGGCAGAAGGATATTGCATTACATAGAATATCAAAACACAGAACTGTATGGCATGAGGAGTGTGTGGGATGCTCTTCACGTTAGACTCTCTAGAAAGCAGATACTGAGATGTTAGGAGTACAGAGTTTATTGGCAAGTACTGGTATATCTTCAAAGGAAAGAGGAGGAAGTACAATTGGGAAGAGGGAGCTGTCAGACTCTGACAGAGATTTAACAAAAGTTCTGCTAGCTCAGAGGGAAATCTCCGAAGCAAAAATCGTTCAAAGCTAACCCTGTACTTGTACCACTCTGTGCTCAATCATTGGCTGGGGAAGGAGGGGTTGTGGAGGGAGACACTGAGAACTTGACCTCCATTCAAAAGCTGAGGCAAACCCTAAGGGGGCCAACTACTAGAGCCTGGAGGCTCCTGAACTCCTCCAGGCTGGGGAGCAGCCTCTTTGAAGGAGGATTTGAACAGCACACTGCAGTGTCTGCCATAGATACACAGAGGAGCAGCAGAGTTTGGACGACTTTGGAAGAGAAAGCAGAACAGAGTTCATGCTTCTAAGTGTATCACCTGCATTTCCTGAGTCACAGTAAAGTGGATTTAAATTCAAGATTACAGCCGAAGCCGGTTTGGCTCAGTGGTAGAGCATCGGCCTGCGGACTGAAAGGTCCCAGGTTCAATTCCGGTCAAGGTCAAGTACATTGGTTGCGGGCACATCCCCCCGGTAGGGGGTGTGCAAGAGGCAGCTGGTGGATGTTTCTCTCTCATCGACGTTTCTAGCTCTCTATCTCTCTCCATTCCTCCTCTCTGTGAAATATCAATAAAATATATTTTAAAAAAATAAAATAAAATCAAGATTACAAAAATAATCATTAAGGAAAAAAAGCTACCTGAAATCCCACATATGTGTATTATAGGCTCTGACTCCTAGTGACCTTATAAATATGAATGATGTCCATCCTGTCTTGTCCTCAACACTGCTCGGCTCCTGTAGACACATGCCTATATAGCTCATATTTGGTCTTCCTCTTTTCCTGCTTGCTGCTATTTTTTTTTTCAGCACTAATGTTGTTGTTGTTTTTTCCAATGAACCTTGCCTTCCTTCTCATGATGTGCCCAAAGTAGGACAGCTTCACTTTTGTCATCATTGCCTCCAGTGATGTTTCAGGCTATTTTGCTCTACGACCCACTTCTTTGCCTTCCTGGTGGTTCGGGGTATTCATAGAGTTCTCCTCTAACACCACATTTCAAATAAATCAGTATTTTCCTATTGCTCTTCAGGTTTTGCATCCGTACATAATAATTGGGAATATATAGGTGTGGGTGGCCTTATCCTTGGTCTCTCATGACAGACGTTTGCTCTTGATCTTTCCTAACTCTTCCACTAGTGCCTTTCTGAGTCTCAGCCTCCTCTTGATTTCTTAGCTGCAGTCTCCATTTGAGTTGATGACTAAACCATCAAAATCTTCAAGAAAGAAGATGCCCAGGAGTATAATAATTATACTAATTTTCCAAGCAATTAAAGCTATACTCAAGTTGATGCAACAAAGGCTTCTAACAATATGAAGCTGGATATGAACATCCAAGAAATGCTGGATGTTCAAGTTAGATTTAGAGAAGGAAGAGGCATTCTATATCTTATTGCAAACATCCATTGAATACTAGAGTTCCCCAAAGAAGTTCGGAAGGTTAGTCTATATTTTATTTATTTATTTATTATTATTTTGATGTATATTGAACATTTCTAGTCTGTAGACAATTGTTTTGCTTTCCATGTTTGTTGGCATATTCTTTTTAGAATTAGATTCAGTTTCTGTGGCTTGAAGTAATTCTATTAGTATCTCATCTATTCCTGGCAATGTATACTTTCCTAATACCTTCAGAGAAGTTTTTACTTCACTTTCTAGAATTACCATTTTTCTTTTAAGGTACTGGCCATCCTTTTGTTGATTTGGTATAGATTTTCAGTATACTGTTTATAGCTTCCCTTTATTTTCTCCTGTTCAGGTAATGTGCATCCTTGTTGGTTGTTCAGCATTCCTAGTCTAGCTTTGAATTTCCCTTTTACTTTTTAATCTTCTGGTAAAGATCTCTTTTTTTTCTCTTTTTAATATTTTCTTTTATCTCCTTGCATTGACTATTATAATAGTTCTATTTATCTCTACATGATAGTCATTGAAAAACTGTGTTCAGGATTCTAACTCAGTCCACAGATCTGCTGGTTCTTGGTCAATTAAGTTTAACAGTGCAAATCTGTGTTTTATGTGAACTCCAAATCCATCAGGAATGCCATTACGTGCTATTTTGGCACTATGATTCTTTTAGTGTTCTTCAGTTTTACTCTAATATTTGATATTAGCAATTCGTGGTCAGTACCACAATCTGCTCCTGGTCTTATTTTGGCACAGAGAATACAGTTTCTTCATCTCCTGCTTTCAATTATATAGTCTATTTGATTTCTATATTGGCCATCTGGTTATGTTCATGTATACAATCATCTGTTCAATTGTTTGAAGTATATGTTCGTGATGGACAAGTTGTTGGCTTACTCCTCAAAAAATATAACCCCAGTGCTTGCTTCAGCACACATACTAAAATTGGAACAATATAGAGAAGATGAGCATGGCCCCACACAAGGATGACAGGCAAATTTGTGAAGCATTCCATGTATTTCTTTTTAAATATAATACCCAAATATAGTACCCAGTGTTTCCCAAATAATTTTAAGAAAATCCAGTGTCTCCCATAAATTATAATAGCATTCTGTTGATTACCATGGGGGAGCCTACAGTTTTTCTTATCTCCTGATCCAGATCTCTGAGACATTGTGTCTCTATGTACCTACATGCAGGGTGGTAGCTATGCCATTGTTACCTATTGGCAATACAACTGTCCAGATACTTCCTTATAGGCAGGACCACTGGTCATGCCAAGTAGCTCAAGACTGAGGATTCTCATCTCTAGCCAGAGATTCTGATGTTTTACATCTGGAAAATAGAAGGCACTGAAGCCAGTGCTTTATCATTACCCGATACCACCAATGCAGCTGTGGTCAATATGGCTAAGATTCTGTCCCTGTGTCACCAATGCCACCACTTTAGGAGGACTCAGTGCTGCTTGAGTTCTTGCTTATTTTTTTTTTCTTTTTTTAAATATGATTGTATTGAAGGGAGAAGGAGTGAGAGAAACATTGATGGAAGAGAAACACTGATTTGCTGCCTCCTGCCCACCCCTACTGGAGATAGAGCCCTCAACACCTGGCATGTGCCCGAACTGGGAATCAAACTGGCAACCTCTCTGTGCGTGGAATGACAAGTGAACCTACTGAGCCACACCAGCCAGGGCACTGCTTACTTTTCATTGCAGGTCCTTTGCTTTCAGTCTAAGGATAGCCAGGCTGATTTATAATCTAAGTAGCAAATGCAAACACACTTCCTTCTAACAATAACATACTGGGCTTGACCAAACTTTTGTACTTCTATCTTCTCCTCCCTTAGGAAAAATTCTTTCTTCATAGCAAAACAGACTCTACTGTGCGACCCACTCTCAGAATTATGCAAATATTCTTCTATCCTAGCTTGCCACATTCTTCTATCCTAATTTTCTCCAATTCCTAGGGAATGGGCAACAAATATGAGAAAGAAACTGACTGGTTATCATTTTTATAGCACAATCTCTGTAAGAACTTGACTATGACCATTATTATTACAAGCTTAATGGTCAAACTGGGCAGAATTGGCATATAACAATCCTCATAAATAGTCTTGAATTTTCTATTTATATTTCTTCCTATCACACTAACATCAACCTATGTTTTCAGTACGAATACTTGCATTTGATAAAGATAAAATAATGCTTCATACTTTGGAACTATAGCTGGAAGAGTCAGTATCAGTCCTACAGTTTGCATTTGAATCATTTGTTAAAAGCTTTCTTTGCTGGAAGCTTAAATGCTTCCTATCCAGCTTGATGTGGGCTGTTACCTTATCAGACATGTTACGAGGGCAGTACTGTGTCAGTACTTTTCAGAGAGCACTATAGAAATAAATCAGAACTCCAGACTTTACTCTTAGCTCCTGTCATACATTAAGCATTTTTAGTTTGGGTGATAGAAGGAAAACAGAAAAGTTGCATTTCAGTTGCTTTTCCAGCTCTCTTGGAAACATCATCCTATTTTCTAAGAAAATAGCTTAAAAGAGCCCTTGCTGCTTTGGCTCAGTGGATAGAGCATCGGTCTGCGGACTGAAAGATTCAAAGTTAGAGTCAAGTCATGCCCAACAGGGGTATGCAGAAGGCAGCCGATCAATGATTCTCTCTCATCATTGATGTTTCCATCTCTCTCCCTCTCCCTTCCTCTCTGAAATCAATAAAAATATAGTTTTAAAAAATAAAAGAAAATAGTTTAAAAGAGACAATTTTCTGCCAATTCTTTTCATGCTGCAGAAATAAAATACATTTGTAGGACATAGAGCACAGAAGTATGCTCACCTCCTCTTCTGATTAGAGTGGTGACATGTCCTTCCTGTTTATCGTTCTTGAGGATATCAACTTTTCCACACTTCAGTTCCTGGAACTCTTAGATGTTACAGCTTTCTCTCTCCAACTTTTCTCCACCACTTGGGTCCAAACGGAGACTGGAAAGACAACAGTCTTACTTTCAGTTCACATTTGAAGTTCTTCCTACACAAAGCTCATCTAAAAGAGAGAAGAGACAGAAGATCCAAAACTGAAGGATTACATAAGCAGAACACCAAAATAGAAATGAGAAGAGCTCTTTCGCAGACATAGCCCCAAATCTTTAAACAGACTTGGGTGTAAGCATGTGCAATTATAGAAGGTGTTATGGGAGTAATGAGGAGAGATAATTTGATCAGGTAATACCTGGATTGGATTTTAATCCTTCCACAGGGCAGGAGATTAGAGTTTGGAATTGAAATCTTGCTTAAACGCCTTTTGTGGAGGAGTTGTTCCCAAAATATAAAGAGAACTAAGAAGAAGAAAAAAATGGCTCAAGAGCCTAGGGAGACGACATGCAAGCTCATCCTGGCTTGTACTTTGGGTGGAAACAATTGTTAAAAGAGAAACCAACTGCTTTGGCCTGCAGCTTTTCAGACTAGAAAGCCACATGGTATCAGAGAATCCCTAAACTGAGAACCAAACATAAATGTTGGTCTCCAGCCAATTACACACTTAAGTACCTGGCAGAGCTGAATGCAAAATTGTCCTGCAGAGATTGTAGTGGATAATGTCAGTGTCAGTGCTTCACCCAGATTCCTGCATCTATGTTTGCTGTTTCTTGGGAGGGAAGTCCCCTCTTTGGCATGCTTTCCTACCCAGCACCTACTGGGTCTCCTTTTTCAGGAAACTGCTCTCCAAACACATCCCCCTACTCACCTAGCTCCCTGGCCTCAGTTCCAGCTCTGTGGCATAACTTTTAAACTCCAGTGTCCCCTGCAGGAGCAGCCTGAGATCGTTTTCTGTGGGACTTTGCCTGAGATCAGACCCGTGTTTGGATTTCTCCTCTTCTCTGTCCTGTTTCCCCCAACCCTTTGCCAGTCTCCCTGGAACACTTCCTTACTAAGAACTGCCATTGGACCCTCATCTCAAGTATCTGTTCTAAAGAACGTGACCCAACACATTCCCATGGGATCCTCTCAAGAAAATAAACATGTACCTCTAAAGATGAACTCTCTAGAAAAAAAACTACAAAACATACAAGAGAGCACAGCTGGCATGGCTGGTTGAGCATCAACCTATGAACCAGGAGATCATGGTTCGATTCCCAGTCAGGGTACATGCCCGGGTTGCAGGCTAGATCCCCAATAGGGGGCATGCACGAGGCAGCTGATCAATGGTTCTCTCTCACCTTTGATGTTTCTATGTCTCTCTCCCTCTCCTTGATGGTGAATATAAGACATTGTTGGGGGGCTAGCGATCTGAATCTGTGCCAGTAACCTGCCTGCTAATGCACACTGTTGCTAGCTGATAATTTATACTCCACTGATTCCTGCAGAATCTGTTTCCCAGAATACCCCCTTTTTGCAGAGGCCATAAACCATGAACCATAAACAACCCCCAAGAGGAGGTTATCAGTGCTTGTTCCAAGACAGGCCTTTGGGTGTGGTCTCACATTCCGCATTCCAACACACGGGGCTTTTCGCAAAGCCCATGAAAGGTCCGGAAGCTTGATCCATATTTGGGGGACAAAGAAACCAAAGGGTATAAAGGAAAAGCTTCCTCCATATTTTCTCACTTAGGATTTGGAGAACTGACCCTCTGAGTCACTGTACTAGTACATCTGAAAATAAATGGGTTTATCCTGGGTCTCCGAGTACTTCCTGTCTATTTTTCAGTTGCCTGGTAAATTCTGTGACATCATTTCCTCTCTGAAATTAATAAAAATATATTTTTAAAAACATGCAAGAGAATAAAAGCCATCTGAGACAGAGTCTGCAGACACAATAACAGAAATGATTGCTACTAAGGACTCAGGGTAATATAAAGACAACTTGACAGAATATGTAAATTTCCCAGGATATAGGTGGAAATAAGCAAAAATGGAAAGTATAACTGTAGGATATGAAAGCAGCCCAAGTGCCCATCAGTAGATGACTGGATAAAAAAGCTATGATTCATTTACACAATGGAATACTACTTGGCAGAGAAAAAAAAAAGGAAAGAAAGACAAGAAAAGAAGATCTTACCTTTTGTGACAGCATGGATGGACCTGGAGATTATTATGCTAAGTGAAATAAGCCAGTCAGAGAAAGACAAATACAATATGCTCTCATGTATATGTGGAATCTAATGAACAAAATAAACTGATACACAAAATAGAAACAGAGGCATGAATGTATAGACCAGACTGACAACTGTCAGAGTGGGGGGGAGGCATTGTGAGGCTGAATGAGAAAAGGTAAAGGGATTAAGATATATATTAATATATCCTGGCATGGCTCAGTTTCTGAGTGTCAACCTATTATCCAGGAGTTCACAGTTCAGTTCTCCTGCCTGGGTTGCCAGCTCAATCTCCAGTGCAGGGTGTGCAGGAGGCAGCCAATCAATGATTCTCTCTCATCGTTGATGTTTTAATCTCTCTCTCCCTCTCCTCTCCTCTCTGAAATCAATATATATATATATATATATATATATATATATATATATATATGTATATATATGTATATATATTTTAAACACATAAACCTGATTTTGCAAACCAATGTCACATCAATAAATTCAATAATTTAAAAAAAAAGAGATGTAGATAAACAATGAGCAGTGTCTCCATAGGTCTAAGAGTAGCTCCTGAGAAGATAATAAAAAATAGTGGCGAGGCAGTATCTGAAGCAATGACGTCTGATTAATGTATAGAGGTCGTGAAAGAGAGGACACAACACAATTCCTATATGAGATAAATAGAAAAGTAAGTGCATCTGAAAGAGACATGGCACAGCACAAAAGCAAAGAGAATACCTTAGAAGTGACCAGAAAGGAAAGGCAGATTAGGTGTAAAGAAGCAATAATTAGACTTCTAGGAGCATGTAATTGATAGCAGCAACTGAGGCCAGAATTCAGCAGTACAGTGTCTTCAAAGTGAAAAATGGCTGTCAACATCAACCAAATGCAACTAAAAAACAGGCAGCCCCTCTTTTTTTTTTGAAAGTTCACTTCAT